TATTTACTTGTATTTTATTGACTATGCAAAGGCATTTGATTGTGTGGATCATGATAAATTATGGATAACATTGAGAAGAATGGGAATTTCGGAACACTTGATTGTACTCATGAGGAACCTGTACCTTGACCAGGAGGCTGTTGTTCAAACGGAACAAGGGGACACTGCATGGTTTAAAATAAGGAAGGGAGTGCGTCAGGGTTGTATCCTTTCCCCACACTTATTCAATCTATATGCTGAGCAAATAATCCGGGAAGCTGGACTATATGAAGAAGAACGTGGCATCAGGATTGGAGGAAGACTCATTAACAACCTGCAATACTCAGACGGCACAGCCTTCCCGCTGAAAGTGAGGATGACGTGAAGCACTTACTGATGAAGATCAAAGACTCCACTCTTCAGTATGGATGACACCTCAACAGAAAGGAAACAAAATCCTCACACCTGGACCAATAAGCAACATCATGATGACGGAGAAAAGACTGCAGTGGTCAGGGACTTCATTTCACTTGGGTCCACGATCGACGCCCACGGAAGCAGCAGTCAGGTGAGCCAAGGACGCACTGCACTGGGCACATCTGCCGCAAAGAACCCTCTAAAGCTAGAGAGCAAAGACGTCACGCCGAAGACTAAAGTCCGCCTGACACACGCCGTGGTATTTTCAATCGCCTCAAATGCGAACGAGCGCTGGCCAATGAAGGAAGAGTGAGGAAGCGTTGATGCACTTGACCTGTGGCGTTAGCGAAGAATACTGACTGCCAGAAGAAGGGCCCATCGGTCTCGGAGGACGTGCAGCTGCAATGCCCCTTAGAAGCGACAAGCGCCTGGTAATAGGCCAAAGCCCGTGTGACGCAATCGCGCCCTCCTCGCTTCTCAGGGGCGTTGCGGCTGCACTTCCTTCAAGACAGACTGGCCATTCTTCTCGCAGTCCACGGTATGTTCCATATTCCTCGCCAACACCCTCATTCCAAGGCATTTTGCACGGTGCCCGGGACACCCTGCCGTCGCCGCCTGTTCGGCGAGGCTCCCGAGCTCCCCCTAGTGGCTCCTCGTCAGCCTCACAGCTGCCTTGTCGGTGTCCCGGCCTCGAAACACCGCGGAAGAGAAACCCTCGCGGCCGCCGCGGGCCGGCAGTCCCCGACAGCGGTGCTCCTGGAGGCGGAGGCCGGCCCAACCTGAGCTGACCTCGGCTGGCGGCAAAAGGGGGACAAGTCGCCGGTGCGGCTGCTCGCACCGCATCTTACTATGAAAACCCATGCTTCGCCGCGGGACTAACACGTTTGACCACGAGACGCTGCCGACACCCGCTGCGCGCCACGTCCCACGAGGCGCACGTCACGTACCCTGTCACGGTTCCACGAGGCAGAAGTTCTCATCCCGCGCGGGGATTCAGATGAGAGGCTCTGTGAATCGATCTGTTTTAGCTCCTTTCGTCCTCATGAGCGCCCCATCCCTCCCTCACGAGGAAACGAAGGCACAGAGAGGTTAAGATACTTGCTGCAAGTCACACAGCAGAGAAACAGGTGCAGGCTGCATTTGAACCCAGGCAGTGCGGTTCTGGAATGTGCGCTCTCAGCCTGTGCTGGACTTTTCCAGTACGTCCTGGGGTCAGCCGCAGCCTCGTTCTCCCACACACGTGCTCTGCCTGGGGCATGTGAGGCCTCTGCTATTTCTGGGTCACAGAGGCGGAGGGGCCCCTGGGGGCTCAGGTGTGGTTTCCGCCGCGCAGAGCCCACCTCCCAGGGGTACCCTCCTCTCCAGCCGTGGGAGGAATTCTTTCCTCCCCCACCTCCCCATGGACCCTCAGGGGCGCTAATCCCTGTCGGGCGGCTCTAGAGGCTCAGATGAAGAAGCAAGCTGGCCTCCAGGTCTCATTAGCTTAAGAATCTATTCACAAAGCAACCCGTGGCTGCCACAGGACGGGGTGGAACCGCCCGAGAGTTTCTCGGACTAGAATCTTCTCAGGGGCAGTTCACCAGGTCTTTCCACCGCAGGCCCCTGCTGGGGTCAACACCACCCTTTTGGTTAGCAGCTGAACACTGAACCGTCGCATCACCGGGGCTCCCCCTGGGGAAGATACTGTCCGGAGACCTGAACCTCTTTTCTGATTTTTCTCTGGCAGGAAAAGTAGCCTCATTGGCCCTTGCCTTGGCGGCAGCGCTCGCCCAAAGCCCAGCCGGCACACGCTTCAGGTCCCTGCCCAGAAGCCCCCAGGTCGGGAGGGGATCCTGGATGACGGCAGCGCACCGGCGACCCCCGGCTTCTCCTGCCCTCGCTGCTGCTGCTTTAGTTCCCGAGCACTGGTTCCCTTCTGCCGCTCCATGGAGTGTTCTTATCTATGCCTTTTTTGGGGTCCATGTCTCCCCTAGATGGGAGCCCCACGGGGACGGGGATTTGTGCGTTCGGTTCACCGTGGTCCCTGGCAGTGCAGTGTCTACACACAGTAGGCGCTCCATCCCAGAATGTCTGAACAGGTCGGCAGCTGTCGCAACCGTCACCCATAACTTTGCAGGTCTGTCTGAAGCCCCCTGCCGCCTCCAGATCCGACTGCCGCTCTCTGACATGTGGGTGCCTCCACCCCAAAGCTTTTCCTCTTCCATCCACTTCCTCCTCAGCCTCCGTGGAGCTACCTGGATCGCCCCTTCTTTCAAGCCGGGTGGCCCTGTTCCTGGGTTCCCTGGCCGAGGGTCCCCCGGAACCAGAATCCCCGACATCCTCGGCTGTGTTCCCCAGCCGCCCCCCGGGTAGACAGCGGGACAGTGGCTCCTCCATCCCCCGCCCGACGGTGCCGCCAATGCCGGGGACGCCCCAAGCCGCAGCAGTGAGGAGCACGGTCCGTGCCCCTGGGGCGGTTCTTTTCTCAGCGGGAAGTCACTGGAAACATTATTCTACTCAGAACCATTCCCACGTGTAAGAGTTGACAGCAACATTTGCATGAAATTTCGTGATTAAGGCCTGGGGCCTCCCAGGGAACTGGCCGCTGGGGAGGCTGGCTGCGGACCGCGCCGCGCGCTCCCTGGGGGTCCCCGCTTTCCCCTTCCCACCACCGGAGCCCTGAGTTCCGAGGGGCGCTACCACCTCTTCCGCCTCCACCCCACCGTCCTGGGAGTCGGCCGAGAGCCTGGCGAGAGCTCCGTCCGGAACACAGGCTTCAGGGCTCGAGAGCGGCTGACCTTAACGCCCGTTTCCCCCACAGAAGCTGCCAAGGGGAGCAGGGGCTGGCTTAGGGTCACCCGGTCAGGGGCAGGGGCCGAGCTGAGTTCCGGATGGAAACCGTCCCACCTCGGCGCGTGGCGGCCTGAAGGTCAGCCCCCTCCCGGATCGTGCGCAGCCACCACGTGGCAGAGCCGGCCGCGCCGCCACCGCGCAGGCAACTGGCAGCCAGGGGGGCTGAAGGTAAGTGAAGGGGGACCCGACCGGGAGCCCCATCCCGCTGCTGTCCTACCTGCCTTGAGCCTCCTAGGCCACCCTGCTGGTGGCCGGGCGGCTGGGGGCTCCATGTGGCCCTGAAGGCCCAGGGGGGCGGCGGCTTTCCCATCCCGTCCGGTCCTGCTGCACATGGTGCTGGGGGGCGCGGGGGGCAGGGTCCCTGCAGGGAGAGCAGGGCTGTGGTTGGCGGGGGGAGGGGGCGCTGGTGTTGGATTTTGCGGGCTCAGCTCAGAGCTCCCGCCCAGCACCCCCTCCAGCCTGGGGCTTGAGCAAGACTGCGGTGGGTGGCTGGGCTCCGCAGGGACGCCCTGCAAGGAACGCCGAGGAGCTGGTCTTCTGGGGCCCAGGTTTGGTCAAAGTCAGGGGCCTAGAGGCTGGGAATGGCGGATGCAAAGAGCAGGGGAGTGGGGAGGAAGCCCTGGTCCCGGGACGACACTACAAGGCCCAGGTACCGCGACCCTGGTCTTGTGGGATCGGAGCTAGACTATGGAGGGGGTGGGCTGGGGGGTGGCGGCTTGGGTGGGACATAGGTCCCAGAAGAGGTAAGGGCTGGGGACCGGACACCTGGGCTATGTGGCAGGCAGGGCTGGCCTCTGGCCCCCAGGAGCCCCAGAGGAGTGGCATCCCGGTTCCCCAGGTGCTAAAGGCCGGGAAGTGGTACCTCTGAACCACACTGGTCTCAGAGAGGAGCCCGGTCCCTCACCAAGGCAGACACAGACACAGGGACACAGGGAAATGCCCACCATGAGAGGGCAAGATGGCGCCAGGCTCCTGGGAGGGGCGGCGGGAGCGGCCTGAGGCAGGGGAGCCGGATGTCTGCAGGTTGTAACAGTGGTGGGGATAGGGGCTGTGAGACCAGCGGGGGGCGATGTCACCCCTCACCCTGGGTGCCTCTCCACACCTCCAGACTCTGGCCGGGGTCCAGATTGAGACGGTGAGATTGTGGGGGGCCACTGGCCCAGACAGTAGGAGTTGGCAGAGTTCAAGACTGAGTGTTTCCAGGACTGGACTGCGGTCCCTTGGGCGCCTTGGCCCAGGGCACCCAGCCCCGCCTTCCACTCCTGCAAGCCTGCCACTGTCCACCGTCATCACCCACAGCTCCCAACATCTGTTCCCCCATCTGCTCTGGGGACCTTTAGGGCAAGTGGAGAAGGCGGGGACCCTGCAGCCTAGGATGACGGACAGGGGCTGGGGTGATCAGAGTCCTGATGGGGAGCCCTGCCTTCCTGGTCCCACAGGCCTTGGCTGTCCTGCTCCCCAGCCCCGGCTGCACCCCTCCCTCTCTTGGCTTTGTGCCCAGATGGGAAAGGGTTAAGGTGGAGGGCTGGGGTGGGTGGGTGGTGGGGGGCACAGGGGGGCCGGGGCTGCTTGGCGATAATCCCCCTCCGTGCCCAGGGTGTGGAGAACAAGGTTAGGGCCCCACGTGGGAAAGGGCCCCCGCTCTGATCCCCGTGGGCCGGGGCTCGGCCTCTGCTTCTGATCCCTGCCGCGGGCACCCCCAGCCCTGCCCCTCCCTTCCGTGGCTGGCCTGGGCTGCATGACAGGCCCCCGTTGTCCTCCCAGTTCTCCCAGGGTGCGTCGGGGCTCTGGGCTCAGGCCCCCCACTCCCTGTGGACTCGGTACCGGGCTGGCCTCCTCCCTCCGGGCCACGGGCTCTCTCAGCCCACATCTCTCTGTTTGTCTTGGTTGCTCTGAGTCTCCATCTGTCCCACTCTTGCCCCCACCCCAGCCTCTCCCCAGGGCCCCTGCCCCCTCGACACCAGCAGAGAGTTCTGGGGTGTTAAGCTGCGGATTAGTTCAGGCAGAATTCTCGATTTTGCTTGCGTTCCTTCCCCTTTGGGTTATGTAAACAGTAATTCGCCCCAGATGGAACTGTTTTCCTCGCTGGGAAGCGGCCGGGGAGGGGGCTTGGGCAGGGCTGGGGCAGGAATGCCGGGGTGCCGCAGCGCGCCTTGGGGAGCCAGTGGACGCTGGCCGGCTGGGCCCCGGGGCAGCCTGAGGTCCACTCCCAGCCCCTCCTCTTCCCTCCAGGTGCTTGCCCCACACCGACCATGCCTGTGACCTTTGCCCTCACGCTTCTCCTGAGCCAGGCCGCTGCAGACCCATGCTACGATCCTGGGGGCCGCCCCCGCTTCTGCCTCCCACCAGTGACCCAGCTGGCCAGCCTGACAGCCTCCTGCCCCCAGACCTGTGCCCCGTCCCCAGGGCCGGACCTCAGCCTCCGGGCCTCCTGCAACGGCAGCCTGGCCCTGGCCCTGGGCGGCCCCTTCCTCCTGACGTCCATCAGCCTGCGTTTCTGCACCCCAGGACCCCCGGCCCTGGTCCTGTCTGCAGCCTGGGCGGCGGGAGGTCCCTGGAGGCCGCTGTGGCGCAGATCCGCCTGGCCTGGGGCTTTGGGGGGTCCTGAGCGGGTGACCTTCCGCACCCCACCAGGCCCTAAGGCCAGCA